GGTGTCTGCATGGGCAGGCGGCGCAACGCGCCCAGCGCAGGCGGCCCAAAGCCCCCACTCCCGCCGTAGGTACCGCCCTTGCAGCCGCCGAAGAAGGCGGGCGTCCCGGCGCGGGGCCGCGGCCCGTACGCGTCCTGCGCGCCCTCCAGCAGGGACTCCGGCAGCCCCGCGCCACCGCCGCCTCCGTGCAGGCCCAGTGGGCCTCCCAGCTCGGCCAGGCGGGGCAGTCGCCCAGCGCAGGCGGCCCAAAGCCCCCACTCCCGCCGTAGGTACCGCCCTTGCAGCCGCCGAAGAAGGCGGGCGTCCCGGCGCGGGGCCGCGGCCCGTACGCGTCCTGCGCGCCCTCCAGCAGGGACTCCGGCAGCCCCGCGCCACCGCCGCCTCCGTGCAGGCCCAGTGGGCCTCCCAGCTCGGCCAGGCGGGGCAGTTCCCCCGGGCAGCGCGTACCTAGCGCGGGCGACAGCGCGCTCGCGGGACTGGGGTACATGAGTGGTGACGATGGCGCAAGGGCCTCCAGAGCTTCGTCGTCCTCCAGTTCAGCTGCCTCTCCAAGCAGGGGTCTCCTGCCGCCGCGGAAGTCGGCCCACGCCTCGTAGTCATCGCTGGCGTGCGAGGCCGGGCTCGTGGCCCACTTGGCTGCGGCAGGCACAGGCCCCGGGGCTGGGGCGCCCGGGGGGCTGTCATCGGGGCTTCGCTCGGGTGCCTGCAGCTGCTTCTTCTTGCTCGCCTTGCCCTTGATGCGCAGGAACTTGGCTCCGTTGTCCATGGACACGGCCCTGCGCCGTGGGGTCTTGCCGGTCTTCCCGCCCTCGGGGTTCAGCATCCACCATGAGCTCTTGCCTGTGCCCTCGTTCTGCACGCGGATGAAACGGGTGTGCAGCGACAGGTTGTGCCGGATGGAGTTCTGTGGCCAGAGACAAGGACATGGGTGGGGGAGTGGGAAGTGAGAAGGCCATGGGGAAAGATGGGAAAATGATAGAAACAGGAGGGGAGAAAATAGAGAAAAGAATGAAGAGCCAGAAAGGAGAAAAGGGGGAAATAGGGAAGAGGAAAGAATGAATGGGTGAGGGGAGCAGGTGTTAAGTACCAGGTCGGACAAACTCAGATCAGCCCTCCAAGACCCCAGAACCTCACACCCTTCCCCTTCCCCCGCCCCCACACGCACTGCCCAGAGAGTAGGGCTGGAACTTTGGGCCTAGCCTCTCCCTGGAGGCAAAGCCCAACCCTGAGGGCTACTCTGAAGGGTCTTGCAACAGGGGAGCAGGACTCCCTCCCCGGACTCAGCCAAGCCCCGCCAGACTAGCCAGGCTGCAAGGGGCCCCCCAGCAGATTATGTAAGGGCTCATGGCTCAGCGGCTCATTTGTCCACCCCCCTCCCTCCCCAGCCTGGCATGGCGCCAGGAGCCCGAAAACCCAGGGCTCCAGAAATCAATCTCGCGGTGACTGATTAAGCCCTGTTTAGAACTAATTGCTCTTTCGTGTGTGGGGAGAATAAATTACCTGCTTTAATTTCGTGTCTTTAAAATGCAACTGCAGGTAGAGAAGACTGTTAACCCTTTGCTGGGAGGGCCTGGCCAGGGAAAACAGAATAGGCTGGGTGTCCCCAAGGTCAGCAGAGGCCAGAGACTTTTCAGAGATCTCCCCACAACTCCTCTGAGCTTCTGTGAACTCCACAGAGGCCTTGGATTGCAGCAAGTTCCTCAAAGCATATCCATGGGCCATGGAGACCTCCAACCCCACCTCTGTTCAGTGCTTGCCTTTAAGTCTGCCCAGCTCTCTGACCTGCCCTTTGGGTTGCAGCCCACCCCTCCAACCCCCGACGAATCTGAAACAGAGTACCTCATCCCTAAATGCCTCTTCTTAGTGGAATCTTCACAGGTCCCCACAAAGCAAGTGGCATAATGCCCATTTACAAATAAGACCAAGGCTCAAGGAGGAAGTGGCTTGCCCAAGGATACACAACTTTCTGCCGACCCGGATATTTCCCTGGGCTTCACTTTTGTCATCCCTACACATATCCTCTTCTAAATGTCTTTTGTGCCAGTCTTTTGTGTCTCCCATAGCACTGCCTGCTTTTGCCAGGCATCCTGGGGACAGAGAAAGACAGGAGAAGCCATAGCTCCACGGACCTCACAGGAAACTATTGGGCCTGCCACACCCCACCTCTAGGGCCTCCCACCTGGTGGCCTTGATCTCTGGCTCAGGCACAGCTGTGGAAAACAGCATGGACTTAGGTATCAGAATGGCTGGGCAGGATGCCTAGCTCTTTTCAGCCACCTAGCTATTTGACCATAGGCTGTTGACTCAATCTCTGTGAGCCTCAGTGCCTCAGTGAGCTACTCTGAAAAAATGGGTGACATTCAGTAACCACCTCAGAAAGCTGTTAACTCATTACCTGAGCTAACGTGTGTAGGTGTTTGGTGAACACACCAGGAGCTCATAAACAGCGGTTAAATCCCTCACTCTGTCCAGAAGACCTCACCTCTTAGATCATCTGATAGACCTGCTCTGTCTCTGCCTTCTTCATATCATGCTGAGTGCAACTGTGCTGGGCACCAACAACTCTGGAAAGCCGGCATTACCCCATCTCATTTACCAGGGAATGGAAGCCCAGAAGCATGATGTAACTTGCCCACAGTCCCACAAGCAGTGCCAATCCAGGTACCACCGCAGACCTGCCCAGCTCATGGACCTGCTCTTAACTCTTCATACACCCAGCCCAATAACCAGCAATCCGTGAGGGATCTCCCTTCTGCCTCCTTCCCACCAGTTTCCAGAAAGTAGGGTCCTTACTGCTGCCCAGGGTACCGACTCCTCACTGCCCCACGTGCCCAATCTCTGGCACTTTCTGGTCTTGGGAGGTGACAGCTGGGGCTCCGAGGCCCCTCCCAGCATTGCCCTGCCTGGCTTCTCCTGGGCCCTGAGAGGAGGGGAGCTGGACCCCCAGGGAGTTGTGCTCCCTCAAGTAGATACCCCCTTTCCTGCTCCCGCCCCTGCACCTGGCTCCCCAGTCCCTCCCCCACACCTGTGTTCAGGGGCCTCAGAGGCCTCAGTTCTCCTCCCATAGGGACTATCTGGCTTACCGGAGGATCCACCTCCCAGCTTCTTCAGCTGGAGGTCAGTCAGGCAATACTTCTTTATCAATGTCACTGTGTACAAACCTGGTTCTGAGTGCTAGGGGGTGGGGTGGGGGGAGAAGGACATCACCAAGTTCTAGCTGTACCTGCCTGTTCAGCCCTGGGCATTATAAGTATTATATCTCATGTAATCATTCTATCAAACTATCAAACTCCATACAAGTCAGGGATCGTGATCTCTATCTCAAATGAGGAGAACGAGGCTCAGAGAGGTTAAGAAAGTTGCCACAGTCACACAGTTTAAGTGGCGGAGCCAGGTATTGATTTCAGGTTAAAGTCACTCTGAGTCTAAAAGACACTGCATTTCACTATGGGAAAGAGAAATGAGTTAAGAGAATTTCCAAAGCATCTTAGGAAGCCGATACTCCAGTGCTTCTTAAACTTTCCACGTAAACCATCCCTAGAAGCTGGCAGCACGGGAAGACTGGGGGCATATAAAAAAGTCAAAATTCCTTAGAAGTTTTATGCTTCCTTTTTAGAATTCAAGGGAATTTTGCATTGTACTTCATAATACATCCAAATTTTCTGAATATAAATAAAATGTTTTAGATTACCACCAAGAACACATGCTCCTATGTGTTCACAGGGCCTATGAAGGTTTGTATCCATTCCCCTCTGTTTCTTGCCCAGCCGGGTACCCCTGGGAGCCTGGACCCCATCCTGAAACCATGGCTGATTGGACCCAGAGAGAAGAAAGGATTTGCCCATAGTTGCCCAGGACCTGGTGGCACAGCCAGGATTCAAACCCAAGCCTCCTGACCCCCGGCTTGGTGCTCTTCTCACTCCACCGAGCCTGACATGTGGCAAGTCCCTCCTTCTCTCCAAGTCTCAGTTTCTCTACCTGTAAACCGAGGAGACGGGCCAGTTGTACTCTGAGGACCTTTTTGGTTTGACAGTGAAAGTTCTTGGAATCATCCAGTCCAGAGGTTTTGAAACTTCTTTTAAAAGTTGAGGAACTTTTTATAAGTAGAATCTAATGCAAAACTTGAGGGTTACACACTCAAGCCATCAGGGGTGGGGGCAGGGGTACCTGGAACCCTGCCTGCTCAGCACCCTCCCTTGCATTCTCCCTTTAGGAGAAATTCTACAGGACAGATGGAGGGAGCAGTTGAGGCCTAGAGGGGTGCCATGCCTTGCCGAGGGTCACCCAGAAAGGTGGCCAGAGCTGGACGAGAACCCTGGCCTGTGAATGCTGAGCCGGGCTCTGTACCATGTGTGCACCAGGGCTGTGCCCCATGAGGGAAGCCCAGGCCCTGTAGCCCAGTCTGGCTCCTCAGGGCCCAGCCACCTGGTACCAGTCAGAGCTTTGGGCCAAGATCTAGTGGCAAGCACCGATCACATCTCGCCCAAAAGGCCTTCTGGGAGGGTAGAGGCCACGGAGGAGGTGAGGGAGGCAGAGGAGGGAGACGCCTCTGCCAGGCAGCAGTAACCAGGGCTCCCTCTTGGAGTCACCTAGCAACCTGCCACCACAGCCACGCCCTGGCATGCCCAGGTTCCCCTGGTGCCCAGAGCTGGGCCAGCTTCTGGGGCCTCATACCTCCCACACTTCCATACAGACTTGAAGCAGGTTCCCAGGGGTGATAGGACCCGATTGGGAACCTCCAGGAGATCAGGGGTCAGAAGGAAGGGACAGTGGCCATCCCATGCCCATCCCACTCTCTCTCAGAACCTGGGCCAGGGAGGCCAGCCTCCAGGGGCCTCACATGCCAGAGAGAGAAGGCTGGCACAGGGCAAAGTGCGTGGGCTCTGGAATTGGTCTGGACTCCAGTTTTGGCTCCAACACCCACAAACAATGCAGCCCAGGAGCAAGGAGCTTTGAAACTCAGTTTCCTCAAACTGCCACCTGCTTTCACCCTCATATCCCTACAGCCCTCCATCACACAGCAGCCAGAGTGATCCTTTCAGTGATTCTCAGACCCTCTGATGCACCCCATCTCACTTAGAGTAAAGAACAGGGGCCTGGCCATAGCCCAGGAGCCCTCTGTGACCTTTTGGGCTCCTCCCCTTATGCTGTCCTGCCCTCCTGTTCCTTGAACCAGGCACAGTCCCACCTTGGGGCCTCTGTCTCAGAGGAACACTGTTCGCCCAGATACCCAAAGGAATCCCTCACCTCCAAGTCTTCATTCGTATGTGACCTATCACAACGAGGCCCATTCAGACCGCTCTTAACAATTGCTATTCTTCCCTGCCATTTCTTGGCCCCCTTATCCTACTCTAAAATTTTCTGAAGCTATTATCATGTTCTAAATTTATGTATGTTTTTATATGTGGTACATATAATTTATATTCTGTGTTTATTATCTGGTTTCCCTTAGAATGTAAGTTTCATGAGGGATTTTTGTCCATTTTTACAGTACCCCATGTGCTGTTGAAAGAATGTATGTGTGTGAGAGAGAGAGAGATTGAGGAGGGGGGAGAGAGAGAGAGAGAGAGAGAAAGAGAGAGAGAGAGAGAGAGAGAGAGAGAAAGGGGGCAATACTGTGTTGAAGGGAGAGTTAATGAGACTGGGCAGAGTAGCTGGCACATGACAGGGGCTTCTCCAAACTGGGCTGACAGAAGGCAACATAGGATGAGAGACAAGTGCGGGGTAGAAAAAGTCAGGAAGAGTATGACCCACAGAAGGAACTATAGAAAGGAGTAAGGGTTTCTGCGAGGTAAAAAAGTTTCACAGGGTGAAAGTGTAGCTGACCACCCCAGCCTCCCTCCTCCCCCCCAGACAGACTTGGGTAACCCAGAGCTTGCCGCTGCTAAGGTCCCTCACAGCCAG